TTTCAAATCTTTTTGGTAAATACTCAGAAGTGGGATTGCTGGATCATATAATAATTCTATTTTTAGTTTTTTGAGGCACCTCCATACTGCCTTCCATAATGGCTGTACTAATTTACATTCCCACCAACAGTGAGCAAGGGCTCCCTTTTCTTCGTATCCTCACCAACACTAGTTATTGTTCATCTTTTCCATAGTAGCCATTCTGATGGGTATGGAATGATATCTCATTGTGGTTTTAATTTGCACTTCCCTAATGATTCGTTATGTTGAATTTTTTAAAATATATCTATTGACCATTTGTGTGTCTTCTACTGAGAAATGTCTACTCAGGTCCCTTGTCCATTTTGTAAACAGATTATTTATTCTCTTTGAATAGAATTATTTGAGTTCTTTATATATTTTAGATATTAACCCCTTATCAGATGTATGGTATGCAAATATTTTCTCCCAATCTGTAGCTTATTGCTTCACTCTGTTGTTTCATTTGTTGTGCAGAAACCTTTTTTTTTTTTTTGAGACAGAATTTCACTCTTGTTGCCTAGGCGGGAGTGCAATGGCATGATCTTGGCTCACCACAACCTCCACCTCCCAGATTCAAGCTATTCTCCTGCCTCAGCCTCCCGAGTAGCTGGGATTACAGGCACACGCCACCATGCCCAGCTAATTTTGTATTTTTAGTAGAGATGGGGTTTCTCCATGTTGATCAGGCTGATCTTGAACTCCTGACCTCAGATTGTGCAGAAACTTTTTATGTTGATATAATTCCATTTGTCTATTTTTGCTTTTGTTGTTTGCACTTTTCAAATCTAAAAAAGTGTTGCCCAGATCAATGTTGTGTAGTCTTAGCCCCTGTGTTTTCTTCTAGTAGTTTAATGGTTTCAGGTCATATATTTAAGTCTTTAATCCATTTTGAGTTGATTTTTGTATATGGTGTAAGATAAGCATCCAATTTCATTCTTCTGCATATGGATATCCAGCTTTCCTAACACCATTTATTGTGGAGACTTTTTTTCCCATTGTGTATTCTTGTAACTTTTGGCAAAAATCAATTGACCATAGTGATGTGGATTCATTTCTAGGCTGTGTATTTTGTTCCATTGGTCACTGTGTATATTTTCATACCTGTGCCATGCTGTTTTAATTATTATTGCTTTCTAGTATACTTTGAAATTAGGTAGTGTGATGCCTCCTGCTTTGTACTTTTTGCTCATGATTGCCTTGGCTATTTTTTTTTTATGGTTGCATATGAATTTTAGAATTGTTTTCTCTATTTCTGTGAAAAATGATATTGGAATTTTGATAGTGATTACATTGAGTCTATAGATTGCTTTGGATAGTATGGACATTTTAATAATATTAGTTCTTCCATGTCATGAACATTTATTTTCATGCATTTGTGTCTCTTTTCACTTATTCGTCTCTTCTATTTTGTTCATCAGTGTTTTATGGTTTTCAATGTACAGGTCTTTCACTTCATTACATTTACTCCTAAGTTTGTTTTTTTTTTTTTTTTTTTTTGGTCATTGCTCTTAATAGGTTTGTTTTCTTAATGTCTGTTTCATATAGTTCATTATTAATATATGGAAATGCTACTGATTTTCATATGTTGATTTTGTATCCCACAACTTCACTGAATTTGTTTACCATTTCTAACAGTTTTTTGGTGGAGTCTTCAGGGTTTTCTATATATAAGATCATGTCATCAGCAAATAGACAATTTTACTTCTTCCTTTTCTATTTGAATATCTAATAATTCTTTTCTTTTTCTTGCCTAATTGCTCTGGCTATGACTTCCAGTACGATGTTGAAAAGAGGTGGTGACAGTGAGCATCCTTGTGTCGTTCCTGATATTAAAGGAAAAGCTTTCAACTTTTCACTACTGAGTATGATATTAGCTGTAAGCTTGTTGTATAAGGCTTTTTTGTGTTGATACATTCCTTTTACACCTAATTTGTTGAGTGAGAGTTTTTATCATGAAAGAATGTTGTGTTTTGTCAAGTGCTTTTTCTACATCTATTGAGGTGATCATATGGTTTTTGTCCTTCATTTTGTTAATATGGTATATCACATTTATTGATTTTCATATGTTGAACCATCTTTGCATCCCAGAATAAATTCCATTTTATCATGGTGAATGATTCTTTTAATGAGCTATTGAATTTTGTCTACTAGTATTTTGTTGAAGATTTTTGCATCTGTGTTTATTAGAGATATTGGCCTATAATTTTCTTTTCTTACAGTGTTCTATTCTGGCTTTGGTATCAACGTAATGCAAGCCTTGTAAAATAAGTTTGGAAGTATTCCCTCCTCTGTAATTTATTTGGGAAAGTTTAGAAAGGACTGGTTTTAGTTCTTGTTTAAATGTTTTGCTGAATTCAGCAGTGAAGCCATCTAGGTCCTGGGTGTTTCTTTGTTGGGAGACTTTTCATTACTGGTTCAATATCCTTAATCATTACTAGTCTGTTCAGATTTTCTATTTCTTCATGATTCAGTATTGGTAGGTTGTATGTGTCTAGAAATTTGTCCATTTCTCCCAGGTGGTTCAATCCTTTGGCATATAATTGTTCATAATATTTTCTTTTTTTTTTATTTTTTTTATTTTTTTTTTGAGACGGAGTCTCGCTCTGTCGCCCAGGTTGGAGTGCAGTGGCCGGATCTCAGCTCACTGCAAGCTCCGCCTCCCAGGTTTACGCCATTCTCCTGCCTCAGCCTCCCGGGTAGCTGGGACCACAGGCGCCCGCCACCTCGCCCGGCTAGTTTTTTGTATTTTTTTTTAGTAGAGACGGGGTTTCACGGTGTTAGCCAGGATGGTCTCGATCTCCTGACCTCGTGATCTGCCCGTCTCGGCCTCCCAAAGTGCTGGGATAACAGGCTTGAGCCACCGCGCCCGGCCTGTTCATAATATTTTCATATGATCCTTTGCATTTCTGTCCATTGTAATGTGTCTCCTTGTTGTTTTTTTTTGTTTGTTTGTTTTTTGTTTTCTTTGAGACAGAGTCTCCCTCTGTTGCCCAGGCTGGAGTGCAGTGGGATGATCTCAGCTTACTGCAACTTTCGCCTCCCAGGTTCAAGCGATTCTCATGACCCAGCCATCCAAGTAACTGGGATTACAGGTGTGCTCCACCATGCCTGGCTTTTTTTTTTTTTTTTTTTGTATTTTAGTAGAGGTGAGGGTTTGCCATGTTGGCCAGTCCGGTCTCCAACTCCTGGCCTCAAGTGATCCATCTGTCTTGGCCTCCCAAAGTGCTGGGATTATAGGCGTGAGCCACCTCACCTGACCTCCTCATTCATTTTTTATTTGATTTGTCTTCTTTCTTTTGTCTTAGTCTAGTTAAAGGTTTGTTGATTTCATTTCTTTTTTTCAAATAACTAACAGAATTTTGATAGTCTTTTGTATTTTTTTCTAGTCTCTATTTTATTTATTTTTGCTCTGATTTTTATTATTTCTTTTGTTCTGCTAACTGTGGGCTTAGTGTATCTTTTTTTCTGTTTCCTTGAGGTATAACATTAAGTCTTGTATTCAAGATCTTTCTTCTTTTTTGATGTAGGCATTTATTGCCATTTCCTCTTAACACTGCTTTTGCTGCATCCCATAAATTTGGTTATGTTATCTTTCCATTTCATTTTCTTAATATATTTTTAAATTTTCCTTTTGATTTCTTCTTTGACACATTGGCTGCTCAAGAGCTTGTTACCATTCAAGTTCTTTGTTCATTTCTTAACCACATTGTTGGCTTGTGGTGGTTGTTGTTGAGTTGGAGTTTTTATATATTTTAGATATTAACCTTTTATCGGATATATAGCTAGTAAATGTTTTCCTCTTCCTGTGGGTTGCCCCTTCACCGTTGATTATCATTTGATGCACAAAAGTTTTTAATTTTTACATAGTGCAATTTATCTATTTTTTTCCTATATTGCTTGTGTTTTGGGGATCACATTCAAGAAATCATTGCCAAATCCAAGGTCATGAAGAATCGTTCCTATGTTTTCTCCTAAGTTTTAGGGTTTTCACTTTTATGTTAGATTTTGGATCCATTTTGAGTTAATTTTTGTATATATGTAAGTTAAAGGTCTGAGGTCATTGTTTTGTGATAAGTCAATATCTAGATTTCCCAAGACCATTTTAAAAAAGATTGTCCTCTCTCAATTAAATGGTCTTGGTACCTTTTCCAAAAATTACTTGATATATGTAGTCATGCACCACATAACAACATTTCTGCCAACAACAGACTGGATATATGATGGTGGCTCCAGCAATTATGTAACATACTACCCAGGTTTGTAGCCTAGGAGCAAGAGGCTATACCATATAGGCCAGGTGTGTCATAGGCTACACCATCTAGGTTTGTGTAAGCATGCTCTCTGATGTTCACACAACACAATCACCTAACAACCCTTTGCTCAGAACAATGTTGATCAATGCATGGCTGTACGTGCAAGTTCATTTCTGGGCTCTCTGATCTAGTCCATTGGTCTATATGTCAGGCACCTTTTAAAATCAGAAGTTCACTATTTAATGTTTGATCCTGTATCCCAATTATTTAAGTTTGCTGTATTATAACCCCCATTTATAAAAATGTGTATGTGTGCCTGTGTGTCTGTTTGTGTGTGTGTCTGTGTAAGAGAGAGAGAATGAGAGAAAGAGAGAGAGAATAGGCATACCTATGGAAAAATGGTGGAACTAAATGAAACAAAATATTAATGGATGCTATCTTTAGCTGAGATTATCATGTGTGGTTTGTGTATTCTTCTAAAAACTTTCCTTGCCCACATTTTCTGGAATAAACATGTTTAGAAGAGTTTTTCAAGTGAATGTTACTTGGCCTTCCCTGAAATATGAAGGGACGAACAAACACGAAAGGATGTTTGAGAGGTGAGAGCTGCAAGAAAGATGAGGGTTCTGTTTAGCCTGCGTGCCTGGGGTCAAGGGAATGTGAGTGGATCCTGGGAGGGGTGAGCTCTGGAAGCCACTCACACCCATCCCTGCTTTGTCCCCACAGGTCTCAGCTGACTGTGCTCCAATCACCCGACAATCCCTAGATCCCCAGCGAAGAGCGGCTCCACAACAAAAGAGATCCAGCCCCATAGAGGGATTGTGTCCGCCTGGTATGTTTAAGATGGGTCTCTGATCCTTACCCCTCCTCCCCTTGTCTCCATGAGCTTCCAGTCTGTTTCCTTTGCACTTCCTGGTTCTTTATGCCACAGAGAGGCATTGGGTGCCTCCAGCTCAAGGCTCTGTCCTTCTGGAGCCTTCCTGCTAGGATGGTATCAAGACACACAAATGAATGAGACCGCCAAAGAGACTGATAGGCACCTTGAGGGAGAATTGAGTGGAACAGAGATGGGGCTGGTGAGGCCTCCAGGCAATGGTGACTTTGGGTTGACATCCGGAGGTGGGCAGGGCCAGAGGTGCAGAGAACCAGGAAGAGTGCTCCTAGGAGGGTTCCACTGGAACAATTGCCGGGGGTCAGGGGTTGGGGAAGATGGAGCAACGGCAGGGGACTACTGTGGGGAGTGGAGGGTTACGAAGTTAGAGAGACAGGTGGGTTCAAATCCTACAGAGAGGAAGCTGGATTTTATTTCACGAGTGATGGATGTCCCTGCGAAGTTTTCAGCAGAGGGCCACCAGCATTGGATGTGCATCCTGAGTGCCCACTCCTGGATTGAAGCGGAGCAAGACAGGAAGCAGGTGGAGGGCCTTGAGTGTGAGGCGCTCCCCTGGGATGTTATATGGTGCCCTGTAAGGTCATTTGAGCCCTGACAGATGCAGCAGGAACCTGGCCTGAAATGTGCTTGACTGCTGTGTTCACCTCGCACTTCTTTCCCTCTTTCCCCCGCGCGTATGAGGTAAGAATTGATTGCTGCATGAAGGTTTCCAGGGCTGGCAAGTGTGGCAAGCAGTGGCTTGTAAAATCCATTTACAAATTTGCATTTCTTTTCCATGACTAAGGGCCACAGGAAAGGCTTGCCTGAGGGCAAACTCTCACATTGCACGCGTGGGCTTGTCAGGAGCAGAGCATGGAGAAGGAAGAACCCAGTGTGAAGCAGACACAAACTCATCTGTAAATGCTCCTATTGCTGTGGTCCAGAGTCAAGACCAGGGAGCAGGACAGGAATGGGAAGAATTCAAGAAGTATTTGGGGTGTGGATGGATGACATGTGGGGAATGAGGACAATCAAGGCACCAAATTCAACCGCTCAGGGTAACTTGGCCTCTGAGGGGACAGTGTGTGGCAGGGTTAGCAGTGCACATTTGGGGACCATAGCACATAGGTGATGCTTGAAGCCTCTGTCTTGAGGGTGTCCTCCTGGAAGAAGCTGTAAATACTGAGAAGGAGGGGCACAACGGAGCCCATTAGGATTTGCAGTTGGAGGCGATAGACCAGGGAGACAGGACTGCAATGGGCTGAGCAGGAGCAGTTGGAGAACTTCCATCCTAGAGGGGAGATGGTCCTTCCAACCACAGGGAGCAGGCCATAGCAAGCATAAAGGACTGAGACGTGGAAACTCCTCGAAATGTGCATTTCTCTTCCTGTGAATGAGGTCAAGAATCTGCTGATGACACAGACACCATTTGTACACGGGTTCTGCTAGGTTTTCTTCACTACTTGTAAGAGGTTAGGTTTTTTTGTTTGTTTGTTTGTTTGTTTTAATCATTGAGTCACATGAATTCTTACAGATTAGGGAAATTATGCATTGATTGATTGATTGATTGATTGAGATAGGATTTCACTCTGTTGACCAGGCTGGAATGCAGTGGCAGGATCATAGCTCACTGTAGCCTTAACCGCTTGGGCTCAAGCTATCCTCTCACCTCGGCCTTCCAAAGTGTTGGGATTACAGGCGTGAGCCACTGCGCCGGGTCTAAACTTCTAACAAAAATTCCCATATAATGCCAGGTGCGGTGACTTACACCTGTAATCCCAGCACTTTGAGAGACCAAGGTGGGCAAGGAGTTCAAGAACACTTGAGGCCAGGAGTTCTATACCAGCCTGACCAACAAGGCGAAACCCTGTTTCTACTAAAAATACAAACATTAGCTGGGTGTAGTGGCGTGCCTGTAGTCCCAGCTGCTTGGTAGGCTGAGGCAGGAGAATTGCTTGAACCAGGGTAGCAGAGGTTGCAGTGAGCTGAGATCGCATCATTTCACTTCAGCTTGTGTGACAGAGTAAGACTCTGTCTCAAAAAAAAAAAAAAAAAAAATTCTCATATATATTTGCAGTCATTTTGTGGTTTTCTATTTTATAATTAAGTCATTGAGCCACCTGGACTTTATTTTGTTGTAAGAGGCAAGTAAGGAAGACACTTTATTATTTTCCAGCCACCTTTTTAGTTGCCCCAACACTATTATTAAATAATCACATTTTTATCAGTGACATGAATCACTATCATTATGTATGATACTTACATTATGTATGATAATAATGTATCATTATGGTACATTGTTAAGTAAGGTTTGTGTAATTTGGATTTTTTAGAATGTCTTTCAATATTAATAAAAATAATTCAGGAATCTTGTGGATAGCATATAGATGATTATGGTCTATTTTTTGCTTTTGTTTTACTCACTCTGCCAATCTCTGCCTTTTAATTGCAGAGTTTAAACTATTTTCAGTTAACATAGTTATTGACAAGAAAGGATTTGTTTCTGCTCTTCAGCTATTTGTTTTCTTTATGTCTTATATATATTTTGTTCCTCCCTTACCACCTTTTAAAAAAACTTCAGTTTATTTCTTGGCATGTACCATTTTGACTTACTTCTTTTCTTTTCTGCATATTTTAAAATTGATTTTCTTTTTTTCTTAAACATATATTTTCTATATGTATATCTTTAATAAATATATATTTAAATATATACTTATTTTAATATATATCTTAAAGATATGTATGTGTGTATTTATCTTAAACATACATATCTTTTATATATATATATATAGAGAGAGAGAGAGAGAGGGTCTGCTCTGTCACTCAGGCTGGAGTGCAGTGTCACGATCTCGGCTCACTGCAGCCTGTGGCTGCTGGGTTTAAGCGTTTTTCCTGCCTCAGCCTCCTGAGGACAAGGAGTAGACACTACGCCTGGATAATTTTTGTATTTTTAGTAGAGATGGGGTTTCACCATGTTGGCCAGGCTGTCTCAAACTCCTGACCTCAAGTGATCCACCTGCCTTGGCCTCCCAAAGTGTTGGGATTACAGGCGTGAACCATGCACCCAGCCAAAAATGTATTTTCTTACTGGTTTCTTGAAGATTACAATTACCTTCTTAAGTATCTAAAAAGGTAGTTTTATAATCCCGGCATAATTTCATTGCAATCCGAATACTGTGCTCCTGCACAGCTCCATCTCTCCAGCTTCCTGTTGTTGCTGTCATAGATCACATCCTTGCACACTGTGTGACCACTGACGTCGATCTTAAGGACATGCATATGTATGGAGCAAGGCTGACTTGTGATGGCTGATTTTACATGTCAACTTGGTTACCCAGATACTTGGCCAAATATTATCCTAGATGTTTCTGTGAAGGTGTTTTTTGTTGTTGTTGTTTTTAGATGGGATTAACGTTTAAATCAGTGGACTTTGAGTCAAGCAGATTACCCCCATAATGTTGGCAGGTCCCATCTAATCAGTTGAAAGCCTCAATAGAAAAAAGACTGACCTCCACCAAGAAAGAGGCTGTTCTGCCAGCAGGCAGCCTTCAGAGCTGAGCTGTGACTCTTCTCTGCTGGCCTATCCTGTACCTTTTGAATTTGCCAGCCTCCACAGTTATGTGAACCAATTCCTTAGGATAAATCTCTATCTCTCTAGAGCAGGGGTCTGTGGCCTGTTAGGAACCAGGCCACACAGCAGGAGGTGAACTGTAGATGAGTGAGGATTACCGCCCGAGCTCTGCATGCTGTCAAATCAGCCGCAGCATTAGATGTCATAGGAACGCGAACCCTATTGTGAACTCCGCATTCGAAAGATCTAGGTTGCGCACTCCTTATGAGAATCTAATGCCTGATGATCTGTCACTGTCTCCCATCACCCCCAGATGGGACCATCTAGTTCCAGGAAAACAAACTCAGGGCTCCCACTGATTCTACATTATGGCGAGTTGTATAATTATTTCATTATATGTTACAACGTAATAGTAATAGAAATAAACTGCACAATAATGTAACATGCCTGAATCATCCTGAAACCATCCCCATTCCCCCAACTCCAGTCCGTGGAAAAATTGTCTTTCAGGAAACCAGTCCCTGGTGGCAAAAACGTTGGAGACTCCTGCTCTAGAGAGCCCTGACTAATACAGAATTTTTAAAGATTTGAAATTCTTTTAAACCATACTTAATTTCCAAGTAACGGAAATAATAAGATTGTATTTCCACCTAGCATAATACAGCTATCCTGTATACAACTGAAAACGCACTAACCCTTTCTCCAGAAGAGGATGCAAAGTCCTTGAGTGGTGTTTACTCCTCTCCTTGATACCCTGGAACATAAATACTATAGAATGAACAATACTTAAATACTACGATATAAATTCAAAATATCTTATGTCACATAACAAGGGGATAAGAGAAGGAAGAAAACATAGATATTTGCTTAACATATATTTACACATAAGCACACACATATAACACAATAAGGAAGAAGTACTTATAATGATTACAGTCCTTGTTTCCATAGCTGGTCATGTCATTGTAGCTGGTATTTATAAGAAGCTTCTTTTGCTGTGCATTCTGTATTCCCTGTGCCCTCACTAAGCACCTCAGCTGGTCATGGCTCTATGCCTGGTAGAGTGAACCAACCTTCATTCCTGAAGCCTCCGAGCTATTAGTGGTCCTGCCTTAATTGGGTTGTGGTAGTTTTCCATTGACTTTAATCACAGGGCATGCTAATACTAAGATATGCCCTAAGGAGTCTCCTGTATTCTAGACATCCTCTTCCTTACGTCCATTGTGGAATAACAGTCCAATTTCCCCTTTGATTTCCCCTTTGTGGTCAGAATCAGTCAATCCAGCGAGGAGGGTTTGTGTAACTGGTTTTTGCCTGTTGATTCAGAGGCATGAGGAACCCAAAGTGGCCAAGTAGCAGTCTTAACTTCAAGTTACATGGAAGCATTGTT